GCACCCCACCACCCCCCCCCTTGCACAACCTGATGCAGCATCCCCTGCAGCTGCCTGTGCACCCTCAAAATTCACAGCCCTCTCTGCACCCCTGGGCGCACCCTCCTGTTGCGCAGCCCCGTGCACCCCCCGCTGCACCTCCCTGCACCCCTCCGTCCCCCTGCACCCCCCATCTCACAGTCCCAGAGCAGCTCCCTGCACCCCACACTGCAGGTGCGTCACCCTGCACCCTGTTTGCAGCCCCCAGGGCGTTGCACCCCCAAAGCTGGCATGTCTGTGACCAGGGTGGCACATCCCTCTGTGCATCTGTGACCAAGCTGGCATGTCCCTTGGTCTGTGCCAGGGTGGTGTGTCTGTGACCGGGGTGGCACATCCCTCCATGTGTCCGTGACCCTGCTGGCACATCCGTGACCAGGGTGGCATGTCCCTCTATCTGTGACCAAGCTGGCATGTCCCTGTGTCTGTGACCTGGGTGGCATGTCCCTCTGTGAGTCTGTGACCAGCCTGGCACATCCCTCTGTGTGTCCCTGACGAGGCTGGCATGTCCATGCAGGACTGGCATCTCGTCCCTGCCCCGTGTCCCTTGCCCTGTCCACCCCAGTGTCTCTGCCTGTCCCCACACTGCCAGCCTGCCCTGGCACCCCTGGAGCCACCCGCTGCCACCCCAGGGATGGTGACACATGGATGCGGTGGCCCTGCAGCAGGGTAGGAAACAGGGGAAGCAGCTTGCCCAGAGAGCCGTGGGGTGGATGGGCACTGGCTGCCCCCCGGGGTGACAATGGGGACAGGGTGACAAGGGGGTCCTCATCCCCTGCGGCAGGTGCTGTGAGTGCGGGGCCTCCCTGTCCCACCAGTACTACGAGAAGGATGGGCGCCTGTACTGCAAGAAGGATTACTGGGCACGCTTTGGGGAGCTCTGCCACGGCTGCTCAGAGCAGATCACCAAGGGGCTGGTCATGGTGAGTGCCGGGGGGGCCCTGAGGGGGGACACAGAGCCCTGACCCATGGCTAAGCTCCCTGGAAAGAGGTTGAGGTGAGAAGGGGGTGCAGAACCCCAGCACAGGTTAGGCTCTGGGGGTGGCAGGGGTGTCCTCTGTGCTTTAAGGGGACCCTGGGGCACGGCATGCCCCCGTGTTGGCGTTGGAGCAGGGAAGCTCAGGGTGGCAGGGAGGTGTCCCTGCAGCCATCCCCAGCCCAGTGGCATGACCGCCACCCCCCACCACGCTGTGGCTCATCCTGCCCTTCCTTTGGCCTTGGTGCACCCATGGGTGCTCCCGGCACCATCCGAGCCCCAGCACCCGCACTTGGTGCCCCAGACACCTGGGTCACTGGGGCCGATGGCATCTGCCCACAGGTGGCCGGGGAGCAGAAGTACCACCCCGAGTGCTTCAGCTGCCTCAACTGCCGCACGTTCATTGGGGACGGGGACACCTACGCGCTGGTGGAGCGCTCCAAGCTCTACTGGTACGTCCCAGCCTGGGTGTGTGGGTGGGGAGGATACGTCCCCTGGCACCCCCCCACCCACCAGCCTCCTCTCGGCCCCACAGCGGGCACTGCTATTACCAGATGGTGGTGACGCCGGTCATTGAGCAGATCCTGCCGGATTCGCCAGCTTCCCGCATCCCGCACACCGTCACGCTCGTCTCCATCCCCGCCTGCTCCGACGGCAAACGCGGCTTCTCCGTCTCCATCGACCAGGGCTGTGGCACTGAGCACTCCCGCACCGTCCGCGTCCGAGAGTGCGTCTGTGTCCCCTCTGCCACTGTCCCCTCCCCGGGGCTGGGGGCATCCCGTGCCACTTCTGGTGGTGGGATCCACCCCACAGAGACTTTTTGGGATGGGAGCATGAGGGATGGGGCTGGTGTGTCCCCATCAGCCGGGGTTGGCCAGAGGGGACCATGGTGGCATGTCCCTAGCTGCTGGGGTGGCTTGTGGGAACCGTGCTGGCGTGTCTCCAGCCATCAGGGGGGTGACACGCTGGCATTGCCCCATCTACCAGGGTGGGCTGTGGGTATCAGGCTGGCATGTCCCCATATGGTTGGGATGGCTTGTGGGTACTGTGCCAGCATGTCCCCATCCAGGAGGAGTGACTCGTGGGCAACATGCCTGCATGTCCCCATCTGGTAGGGGTGACTTGTGGGCAGCATGCCCACATGTCCCCAACAAGCAGGGGTGACCTGTGGGTACCATGCCTGTGTGTCCCCATCCCAGAGGGGTGACTCGTGGGTACCGTGACAGTGTGTCCCCATCAAGCAAGGGTGGCTTGTGGGCAGCGTGCCTGTGTCCCCCCGTCTGGTAGGGGTGACCTGTGGGCAGCTTGCCTGTGTGTCCCTGTCTAGCAGGGGTGGCTCGTGGGCAGCTCGCCTGCACGTCCCCACCTCGCAGGGGTGACTCATGGGTACCGTGATGGCATGTCCCCATCTTGCAGAGGTGACTAGCAGGGGACGTGACAGCCTGTCCCCATTGGCTGGGGGTGGCTCGTGGGCAGTGTCCCAGCACGTCCCCACCCATGATGGTGTCGGGGCGGGGGGCTGACCTTTGCTGCCTGCCGGCCCCGCAGACTGGATCCAGACTGCATCAGCCCTGACATGAAGAACTCCATCCATGTGGGCGACCGCATCCTGGAGATCAACGGCACCCCCATCGGCCACGTTCCCCTGGATGAGGTATGCTCCCCCCGGGCGCCCCCCAAACCAGCACCACCTCCCCGCCCCCTGAAAACCATCTCTGCCATCCTTTTCTGCCCTCAGATCGACCTGCTGATCCAGGAGACCAGCCGCCTGCTCCAGCTCACCATCGAACACGACCCCCACGAGCCCCTTGCCCGCGAGTCGGGGCTTGCCTGCAGCCCCCTGCCCGCCCCGTGCAGCCCCCTGCGCTCCCCTGCCCTCCCGCCCTGTGGGGAGCCCAGTGCCATGCGCCAGCGGACTGTCACGTAAGGCCACCAGCTCGGCCACCAGCTCGCCCGCCTTTCCTGTTGAGGTCCCTGCTTAGGGTTGACCCTCTGTCCATCCATCTTGCAGGAGGAGCTGCAGCACGGACAAATCTCCGGGCTCCGGCTCGGTGGGCTCGCCCGCATCCCAGCGCAAGGACATCGGTCGCTCCGAGTCGTTGCGCGTCGTCTCCCGTGCCCATCGCATCTTCCGCCCCTCCGACCTGATCCATGGCGAAGTGCTGGGCAAGGGCTGCTTCGGCCAGGCCATCAAGGTGGGACTGGGCGGCCACAATTGTCTTGAGCGTGAGGGTCTCAGCTCCCCGGGATGGAGGGGGGGGTATCATTTCCCCCGGGCTGTCCCCAGAGGTGGGGGTGGTAGCGGGGAGCCGGTGGCTCAGCCCCTGCGCTCCCTGCCAGGTGACGCATCGGGAGACGGGCGAGGTGATGGTCATGAAGGAGCTGATCCGCTTCGACGAGGAGACACAGAGGACCTTCCTCAAAGAGGTGGGCATCCCCTTTCTTTAATCCCCCTGGTTTGGAGGGGACACACACACACACGAGGGATGGGGCTGCCCAGTCCTGTCCCCCACCCTGACATGGGATGTTGGGCGTGATACCTGGAGTGGGGGTGGCCAGGCACCATGGGGTGCAGGCAGCTCTGCCTGTTTAATGGAGAGCACGTGAGCAGCAGGTCTGTCCGGGTGGGTGCTGCGTGCCTTGGGGTGTCACAGGCATGGGGGGTCCTGCAGGTGAAGGTGATGCGCTGCCTGGAGCACCCCAATGTGCTGAAGTTCATCGGGGTGCTGTACAAGGAGAAGAGGCTCAACTTCATCACGGAGTACATCAAGGGGGGCACCTTGAGGGGCCTCATCAAGAGCATGGTGAGCACTGGGGCGGCAGGTCAGCCACCCACCATCCCACAGCCCTGGTGGGTCTGGGGGACCCCTCTCCTCTCTCCTCTTCTCTGGCAAATCCCCCCTCCTGTCCCCAGGACAGCCACTACCCCTGGAGCCAGCGGGTCAGCTTCGCCAAGGACATCGCCGCCGGCATGGTGGGTGCCACTGGGGGACAGGTGGGTGGGATGGGTGCTGGTGGGTGGGGGACTGCGGGGTGGGTGTGCCCCCCACTCTCAGCCCATCCTTCCCCCAGGCCTACCTCCACTCCATGAACATCATCCACCGTGACCTCAACTCTCACAACTGCCTCGTGCGGGAGGTAAGTCCCACCTTGGTGGTGTCCTTCCCTGGCCTGGGAGGGGGTCTCAGCCCCCTGCATGGCCCCCCCACCCCGTGCCTCACCCCTCTCCATCCACCCAGAACAAGAGCGTGGTGGTGGCTGATTTTGGGCTGGCGCGGCTGATGGTGGACGAGAAGAACCAGCCCGAACATCTCAAGAACCTGAAGAAACCGGACCGCAAGAAGCGGTACACGGTGGTGGGGAACCCATACTGGATGGCCCCTGAGATGATCAATGGTGAGCCTGGCTGTGGTGCTGGGAGGGGGAACGTGGCCAGCCAGGGCTCTGTCCCCAAGTAGGGGACACTTGGTAGGACAGGGACAGGATGTGTGGCATGGCCTGACCCATCTCTCCCCGCAGGGAGGAGCTATGATGAGAAGGTGGACATCTTCTCCTTTGGCATTGTCCTGTGCGAGGCAAGTACCATTGGGCTTGGGGTCTTCCCATTGGGGTTGAGGTCTATGGTTGGGGTCTCCCCTTGGAGTTGTGGTCCTCATTGGGTTTCAGTTCCCCTCTTGGGGCTGAGCCCGCTCCTCTCTCCCGCTCTCCCCCAGATCATCGGCCGGGTGAGTGCCGACCCTGACTACCTGCCCCGCACCACCGACTTCGGCCTCAACGTCAAGGGCTTCCTGGACCGCTACTACCCCCCCACGTGTCCCCCTAGCTTCTTCCCCATTGCCGTCTGCTGCTGTGACCTGGACCCCGAGAAGCGGTGAGTGGTTGGGGACCACCCCCACCCAGGGGACCATGGGGATTGGTGGTGGGGTGGAGGGACAGGGCCAGTGGAGCTGGCACATGTCCCCGTTTCTCGCTCAGGCCATCCTTCAGCAAGCTGGAGCAGTGGCTGGAAACCCTCCGCATGCACCTGGAGATCCACCTGCCGCTAAGCTCCCAGCTGGAGCAGCTGGACCGAGCCTTCGGGGAGACGCACCGATGGGGCGAAGGCGGGCTGCCCGCACCCCCCCGATAGAGCACCCCCACCTGCACCCCCTCTGAAGCCACGGGAGAAGGAGCTGCACCCGCCGCCAGCATCTCCTCCGGCTGCCACCGCCCCCGGGGCTGGATCCCTGGGGCTCCCCGGATGAGCCCCCCTACCCTGTCTCCTCTGCACGGGCTGCCCACACTGCTGCCCGCACTGCTGCCCACGCCATCCCTGGGAGCTGGCTCTTCCCGGGGCTGCACGGCCCCTTTGCATCCCCCCCCGACACCGTAGCTCTTACCCCCAGGACAAGCCCGGCCGGCCACACCGCGGGGACTGTCCCCATGTCCCCCCCCGCCCCGTCCCGGCTCGCTTCGCCTTTGCACGCCCGGGGGGCTGCGTGGCCGCCGCACCCGCACAAGCCCCGTGGGCTCCCCCGTACAGAGCCGCGGCCTCGCGGCGGTGCCTTGGCTTTCCGTGAACTTGCACTGCGACACAGGAGGGACCCCCTGGTTCCTTTGGGGGGCGGTGGTACGTGGCCCCCGGCCCCCCCAAGGGAGCACGGGTCTTGGGGCAGCCTTGTAGCAATGCCCTCGTCCTCGGCCGGACACTCTCACGCTGCTTCTACCGGCACCCCGGGCTCGGGGGGCTGCCGGCACCCCTGGCTGAGTGAGGGGTCCATGGGGGGGGGGGGCGACACTCCCATGGTATGGGGACAGGCACGTAGCAGTCCTCACCTCCTCCACATCCCTGCTGCCCGTGCTACTCTGTGACTGCGCATCCCTGGGGATGATGACGGGTGGTCCAGGGGGATGCGGCTTGTCTCCCTTGACCAGGGGTGGTTGGGGGGGGGGTTGCGCCACGCGGTGCTTTTCATGCTCTTTATTCAGGTTCATTTTTCTGTAAGATATTTAAAGAGAAGAGTTTGTATTATTTTTTCATACGACGTAGCGTTTGCCATTTGTCACTGCCTCGGTTCTGCTTTCCCGAAGGGATGAAACTGTGAAGCCTCTCCGCGCACTTTGCCCGGGAAGTCCAAGGCGACGTCCTCTCCGGAGGCGGGAAGGGAGCTCAAACTGTGATGTACCCCGAGCCGTGAGTCAATAAATCCTTCCCCGCTCACTGCCCGGCCTGCTTGGGAATCGCTCGCCTTCCCCCGGGAGGGCTGGGAGCTCTTGGGGAAACTGAGGCAGGAGGGGCTGGACTCTCCGCTTGGGATAGTGCGGTGGCACCAGACTCGGTGGCAGCCCCCACGCTCAGTCACCCCCATGGTGGCAGCACTGTTGTCCCCTTTTGTGCTGTTCCAACCCCATTATGGGTTCCCCCCCCAGCCCTGGGGCTGTTGCAATCCTGCCTGCAATGCCTGGCCAGGCCCCCAAGCCCCGTGTCCCCGGGGCCTGGCTGTGCCCACTGCCACCCCACGTGATGGCAGAGCTCACGGTGGTGGCAAGCAGGTGATGGGGCTGCATGACTATGGGCACCGCTGAGCAGCTTTGCCTGTGATGTAAAACAAGCCCCATGGGACAGCGAGGTGGCCCATGGCCATCCCATGCTGTCCCTTTGTCCTTGTCACCTTCCTAAACCAAATTAAGGTCCCCAAGGTGGGGGATCTCCATCCTTGGGGGAAGGGGGGTGAGCTTCAGCTAGAGAAAACCTGGACCCCAAGGACCTCATGGGGGGTGGCAAGGAAGGGACTGGGGGATGTCCCCAGGGATGCTGCAGCTGGGTGAGGAGGGGAGACAGCCCAAAGGGGTCCCAGCATCCAGGCTGGACCTCCCCATCAGGAAAACCTCATGGTTTATTGCTCCGGGGATGCTCAGCCTCAGCACAGGAGGGACTGGGGTGGCTCCTTCGTCTGACTGCCTGTCCCACATCACCCTGGTGAAGGGACAGGGGCAAACAGCCTGCCAGCGTCACAGTGTTGTCACAGCGCCCTTGGTGACATCGTGCTGCAGGGGTTCTTTGCTCCGGGAGCAGGACACCATCACTCCCCAGGAACATCGTGGCAGCGGGGGACCCGCTGCAGCCGTCACCCCTGGGAAACACCATGGTCCTCAATCCCCTGCTGCCACGGGAGAGCAGGACCCCGGGTGACCCCCAGCCCTGCAGTGGGAGTCCCCCATCCCTGCAGGACCCCCAGTCCCACCACAACCCCTCGCCCAGCTGGGTGGAGCTGCGGAGCGGGATGTGCCTGGTGCGGCCGGTGCCATCAGGCTACTTGCTGGTGACCCTGCAGAGGACCCTCAGCACCAGGCAGGGGGAGAACTGGGCGAGAGCTGACAGCCAGCCGCGGCAGGGCCAAAGCAGCGGCCACTTGGTCACCCCTGTGACCAGTGACTTGTCCCAGACCGAGCCACTGGCCAGGACCCCCCCCTCACCAGGCAGGGAGGTGACCCCTGCACAGTCCCAGGGGTCCCACACCACGGCTGTCACCCACCCAAGCCCCCCCCCCAGGGGTGTGCAGCACCCCATGCCCAAATCTGGCCACCGGCGTGTGCGTCACCCGGTCCCCCGCCGGCCCCCTGCCCAGCCGACGGCAGACTGGCAGGACTCCTCCCCCCCGCAGCCCCCCCCAACCCAGCCTGACACTGGCATGAGGGGCTTGGCACCCATCTGTCCCCCCAAGCCGTCACCTCCCAGGAGGAAGAAGGGCACCAAGACCAAGCCACAGGCCACCGAGAGCTGCCCCTGCACCCCCTGTCCCCCCCAGGGTCCTGCTCTGTCCCCAACCAAGGTGGTCCCCAGGGACATCCCTGGCAGGGCTCTGTCCAAGCTTGGCTCCGACTCAGCGTGGTGGCCCTTGCTGCAGGCAGGGAGCCAGGTGTCCCCGTGTCCCACAGCCCTGCTGGCGGGCCAGCAGCCAAGTGCCACCGAGGTGGTGGCCAAAGGCAGCGGTGGCTCCGGCAAGGACGTGGCCGAGCCGGTGCTCCCCAGCAGAGCCTCCCCCACCATCCTCCTGCATCAGGCCCAGATGGAGAGCTCCAGCTCTGGCCATGATGCTGGGGATGAGTCACTGGCCACCAGGTTTATCGCCTTCTTCACGGGTAAGTTTGGGGGACTGGGTGGGAGGGAGAGTACGGCTTCCCCCAGTGTCTCAGCAGGGTGGGCATCAGTGCTGCAGGGACCCTCCCTGGGGGACAGCGGCTGCCTGCAGGCAGGGGGGTGATGGGCAGCAGGGTCCTCGTGAGGCCTGAGATGTGCGAAGAGAGGAGGTGCTGGGGTCCAGTCGGGGCACCCAGCTCCATAAGGATGTGGGGACAGGTCCCCATCCTTACCTGCAGGAATGAGGCATGCTGGCATGGTGCCGGAGGATTTCCTGGCAGCGAGTGGGAAGTGGCGGTGGGGACCTCTGGATCCCTTTCCAACAGCGTTTCTGTGGCTCTGCCCATCCCTGCTTTAAGCTGGAGACTGGACTAGAGATGTCCCAAGGTCTCTCCTGTCCTACAACCCTCTGATCCACCCTCCAGGCATAGGTGCCTGGCTCTGCAGGGCCTCTGCCATGGTTGGCACTGTCCCCAGAGCCACCCTTTGTCCCCTGGGCACAGTGTCCATCTTTCCAGCTCAGGACCGGGGACTTTGCATGGTCCAGGAGCAGCTCGAGCCCTGCTTCTATGATTTGGGCAGAGAGGTGTCACTGTCACAGCCCATGTGCCTCCCGTAGCCTGGGCTGGGACAGGAGCCACAGCCTTGGGTCATGCATGTCACTGGATCACCAGGACCTTGTGGCTCCATGGGGCAAATCCAGACCCTAGAAACCCCCATGGGGTGCCGAGGCTGATGCTGGCAGGTCAGTACCCACCTGCGTTGGTTTCCCTTCATGCCAGGGTGTGGAGCCAGGGGGGTGCTGGATGTGAGGATGTGAAGAAGGGGCTGTTGCTCCAGCTCCCTGTCCCCCCACAGATGGGGCCAACACCAACATCCTTTGGTCCCTGAAAGCTGAGGCTCGCCCTGGGCAAAGCCAGGCAGGGAAAACCCGTGGTCCGTGCATTGGCCCCTCGCTTGCCAGTGGTTTTTGTAGGGTCTGCGTAAACGTGGCGTTTTTAAACAGCACTGGGGATACGGCTCTCCCGTGCTTCCCTGCAGCATTGCTGCCTTCCCCAACCATGCACCCATCCCTGCCCATCTCTGCCAACTGGGGACATCTGGGTCCCAGCCCTGACCTCACTAGTGGTGCTGGGGGGGATACAGGGACCAGGCGGGAGGACAACACAGGGACCTGGGAAGGGACAGCCGGGTTTTAATGGGGGTCCTGGGAAACCTCAGCTGCATCTGATGGGATAACTTGTTTCTCTCGGTCCCGCTGCCGTCCTCCACCGGCTCCGGTGCAAACCCCATCCTGGCCATGGCTTCAGACGAGGAGGTAAGTAAGTGATGGGCTGGGACTGCGGGGTGGGAGCTTGGGGTGACACTGGGAGGCTCCCAATTCCCTAGTGCAACCGGGTCCCCAGGTCTGGTACCGGAGATGTGCAGCACTGGCCAGTGAACCCTTTGCAAACGGTTTGTCAAGGCTGATGTCATGTGATGAGTTGTGGGAGGGCTCAGCCCAGGGGGGTGGGCAGGCAGGGGTTCTGTGTGTGATCTGGGGCTTGGGGTGTGATCCCGGCTGGGTGGGACCTCCTGTGCTTGCGGTTTTGGATGGCCATGACTGTCCCCACTGCCATACTGCCATCCCAAGGAGCTTGCCCCTTGCCCAAGGGGCTGGCACCTGCTGGACATGAGGGAGTGTGGCCCCCAACAGCCTCCAGTACCTGACTGGGGACCAGAGCTGCCTGCAGAGAGACAGCCTGTGGGGCTTGGAGCAAGGATGGGGAGACCCCAGCGCATGGGTTTGGGGGGCTAGTAGACTCTGATGTGTGGGTTTAGGGCTTGGGAGACACTGGTGCATGGGTTTGGGGGACTGGGCAAGCCTGGCATCATGTGGGTTTAGGATTTGGGGGACCCCAGCACATGGGTTTGGGGGCTATTTGCTGCCCTGCAGGGATCAAGCATCGGGAGTGACCCAGGCATGGGCAGATCAAGGGAAAGAAGGCAAAAGGCAGGAGTCAAATCCCAGGCCTTTGGGGTGCCCCCCTGAGCACAGACCCTCAGCCCACCTGGACCCTGTGCTCAGGGTGGCTGAAGCAGATCTTTGGGAGCACCGTGGAGTGTACGATGTGGCTCATCCTCTCTGTGCAAGGAAAAATGAGTTTATCTCCAGCTTGGAGGCTGTTTGGCTGCTGCAGAGAGTGGAAAGAGCAGCCTCCCTGCCTGGTTGCCGCCTCTGCCCATCCTTCGGGGTGGCTTTTGGGAAGGACCCTTCAGGGCTTTGTCTCCTGGGACATTTTATTTGGAGCAGCAGCGAGGTGCTCCGCTCCGGGCTGGCATTCCTCGGCCCAGCCTCCGCCCTGGGAAGGCCCCAAAACTGGACCCGTTGCAACAGAAAGAGCTAAAAATAGCGGTTCTCACGGCGGATGCAGAAAAGCATCTGAACATGCGGCCTCTGAACCTGCCAGCAGCCGAGGACAGGACCGAACCCCCAGCCCCGTCCCATGCCTGGCAGACACCCTGTGGCCTCTACGACCCCAAATCTTCCCCCAGTGACACCCCACCCCCCCTTTGAAGCTCCGCCGGTGCAACCAAACCCACCAGGACCCGCCTTGACCCTGGGGCAATACTGGGTGCAGGCAGCGAGGACGCAAGGGGTTAACCTCCCCACGCCCGCCGGATGCAGCATCCTGGGCTGGGCTCTTTCCATCTTGTTTTGGTTTGAAGGAATAAAAGCTTTGGCAGTGGCGTAGCCGCTTCCCAAAATAACTCGGCCTCCCATGGTAATTATAGAGCTCTGGTCCCCGGTAGCGGCTCGCAGTGGCTTCCCGGCCCTGCTGCGCCTTGCTGGGACCTGATAACGCTGCTGCCAGCTGGGGCGAGAGAGACCAGGGTGCCTCAGGGACCTTGGGGACCTCTCGAACAGCGCCAGCCTCCCTCAGCGTCACCGTTGCTCCCCTTGCGTCATCCCCCGGCCAAGAAAAATGCAGCCCCTTGCATCCCTCCTCCCGCTCCGCAGCTGATCCCTTCAGCTTTTAATGCTCTATTTAAAGCCCGGGCTGCAGCTCGCTGGCCTCGATGGGCACTGGGCTACTGGAGTGAGGCCATGGCAAGCCGGCAGCTGCTTCAGGCTGTGCCCGCCAGCATGGCTGAGAACGCCCAGCTCATCACAGCAGTGGTCAGCCTGCCTTCCTGCCCCCCACGGGGCTCAGCGCTGCTCCTTGAAGGGCAGGGAAAGACGGGGCTGAGCTCCTGGAGCACCCGAGCCTGTAATCCCCAGTAATCTCAGAGGAAAGCGCTCTCTGCGGGGATTAGAGATGCAAACAGCCACCCTTGGCTACCTGCCCCTGCCTGCCGTGCTGCCTGCAGGCCCCTGGCCGGCAGCGGGGGAGGACGGGCTGCTAGGCGAGCGGGCTTGCTGCCCGACTGCCCCAGATGGATGGGGTCCGGGTGGCTGCTGGGGCTCCCCCACACCATGCTGAGCCCGCGTCGGTTATTTATGGGAATAAAAGGAATGCGGAGCCATCTGGCTGCAGCCTGGCCCTGTAACATGGAGGGGGGAATGAGGTCCTGGGTGGGGACAAGGCTGAGGTGGTCCCTGCAGAGTCACGCAGCCTTGGTGGGAGGCTGGATGGGGCTGGATCCAGCTTTTCCTGCTGGGAAATTACCACTGGCTTTTGTCTTACGGGTGGGGAAACTGAGGCAGGGAGGAGCTGCCCACGACAGGGATACTCTGGGGATGAGTGTGGCCTTGCTGCTGCCCCAGAATGGGGTGCGTTTGGGGGGGACAAGGACAGCCTCAGTGGTCAGCTGGACCGGGAGCCTGAAATTTGGGGATGGCTGAGCCTCTGCCAGCTGCTCACTGCAGGGAATGGCCACCATCAGCCAAGACTCCACCGGCCCCTTTCATGGCCAGGAACACAAGCACCCCATGCTGCCCCGGCCGGCTGTGCCAGTGTCCTCCCCTGCCCTCAGTGGGGACAGGGGGGTTACAGCCACATGCCACATGCCACTGGCACTCGCTGCCTTTGAAAGTATGGGCCTGGGGGCATCCTGGGAAGGAGCTGCAGCCCCTGGCATAGGATGGGGACAGGGACACTGCCCGCGGGGTTGCTGGTTCCCCTGCCAGATTTCCAGCCCACCAGCCAGTCACAGCTGAGCCAAGGCAGGGCCGTGGGCAGGATTGCCTGGCATCACACCTGGGAAAGGCTTTGGGAGGGGGAAGCAGGCTGGGAATTTGCAGAGGGAACACTGGGAAAGACTGGGATCTGGTGCCCAGTGCGGTCCCCGGTACCCAGCATATTGTGCCTGATGTGTGGTGCCAGTGTGTTTGCCTGGTGCTCAGTACCTAGTGCATGGTTCCCAGTACCCAATACCCACTAACTGGTGCCCAGTGCTCCCACACAGTGACTGGTGTGCAGTGACTAGCACCCAGTGCCTCCTGCCTGGTCCCTGGTACCTGCCAAGCAATGCCCGGTACTGGTGCCTGCTGCCAGGACGACTCTTGCTGGTGCTGGAGCCATTCATTCCCTTTCACCTGTACCAGTATCTGGTGGTGGAGCCTTGTACCCACTACCCGCTGCCTGCTCTGAGACCCTGCAACTGGTGCACGGTGCACTGTGCTGGTGCCCTGTACCTGGTACCCAGTGCCAAAGCCCTGTACCCGGTGCAGGTGCCCTGTTCCCTGTACCAAGACCGCGGTACTGGTGCCCCATACCCCACGCCTGGTACAGGTGCCCCGGTGCCAATGCCGGAGCCCGGCGCCCAGTGCTGCTGCCTTGTACTGCTGCCCCGCGTCCAGCGTGCAGTGCCCGGTGCGTGATGCCAGTGCCGGTGCCCGGTGTACAGCGCCTGGTGCCGGGTGCTTATACCGGTGACGGGTGCCAGCGCTGGCTGCTGATGCCGGTGCCCCGGCGCCGTTTCCAGTGCCGGTGCCCGGGGGGAGTGTGCAGCTCCTGGTCCCGGCGGACGGTGC